CCCTGCCCCCCCCCACAGCGCCCCCTGCTGGGAGATGCCGGGCTGGAGCAGCCAGGAGCTCCCCACACAGCCAGGGCCCGGCCCTGCCCTGCCCCCCCACAGCGCCCCCTGCTGGGAGAGGCTGGAGCAGCCAGGAGCTCCTCCCACAGCCAGGGCCCTGCCCTGCTCCCCTACAGCGCCCCCTGCTGGGAGACGCCGGGCTGGAGCAGCCAGGAGCTCCCCCCACAGCCAGGGCCCTGCCCTGCTCCCCACAGCGCCCCCTGCTGGCAGAAGCTGGGCGTTCCCTGCAGAGCTCAGTTTCATAATCTGTGCTCGTCGTTTGGTTTACACTCTGGGCCAGGCCCTTCCCTTCCTGTAGGCAGAGCGAGTGCTGAGCCAGGAGATAATGCTGCTGGCAGCCACCCCCTGGCAGGACCGGACCCTCTGCCCTGTGTCACTCCTCCTGTGAGCGTGGGGGCTGTTCCAGGGCACGGGGAATCATTGGCTCTGGGGCTGTTTAATTCCCCTGGGGGCTCAGGCTGCAGCCCCGCTCTGGGACCCTTCACCTCACAGGGTCCTAGAGCCTCGGCTCCAGGCCAAGGCCAATGCCAATGCCAAGCAGCTACACCGCCCCATAGCGCCCGCCCCACGAGCCGGGGTCAGCGGGCGTCTGACTGCAGAGCACACATCCCCGACGGGACATGCCCAAGCTCCACAGAATGAGTGTGGCCCAGTGGGGAACTGAACCTAGGTCTTCACCCAGGCTTGCGCCCTACCCACTGGGCCAGCCTTCCTAGCCAACTGCCCCCTCCCAGCTAATCCCACCTCTCCTAATGCTAACCCCCCACCTACCCCCCGACACAGCCCCCCAACCCCCTCAGACACAGCTCCACAGCCAGCTCCCGATGTCCCTGATACAGCCCCCCGACAGCTCTCCATCCAGTTCCCCACTGCCCCTGAGACTGCCCCCCAGACAGCACCCTCCCAGACACAGCCCTCCCAACCTGAACAACCTGCTGCCCCCCACAGCACACCCAATATGACTCCTCAGCTCTAACCCACCCACAGCCCCCAATCCCCAACCACCCTACCTAATACAGCCCCTTCTAACACAATCCTCTATCCCACACACTCCTTCAACCTCCCCCCACGCCTAACCAGCCCCATAGCTCCCCTACCCAACTGCCCTTCCAAACCAACTCTAACCCAGTCACCCCCAATGACCCACACACAGCACCCTTAAACCAACACAGCCCCCCAACTTCTCCTGCCACCTCGTCCCTCCCAACCCCCTCCTGCCCCACACCAAGTTGTCCCCCCCCCCCCCCCCCCCCCCCAGCCATGTCGCCTGAAGGCTGGGAGCTGGGTCCCTAGCTGTGCTGGTGGGGGGAGGGCCCAGCTGCCCCAGGAGCAGAGGGCCTGGCTCGGTGCCCGGCCGCGAGCTGAGATGAAGGCTGGTGCCGAGTTTGGAAGCTGCATTTCTTGCTGTTCCCTCCTGGGCCAAACAGGAGCCAGGGTCCGGAGGTCACCAAGTGCCAGGGCAGGCAGGGGTTGCAGAGGCTGCTTTTGGCTCTGTGTTCAGCTGCAGAGACCTTGGAGCTGGGTGCAGGCCCCAGTGTCCGAGTTAATCGGTTACAGCCTGTATTTGCCTTTGCAGCTGTCCACGGCAGGGTTGGACTTGTTGAAATTCAGCGTCCCAGGGAAGCCGGGAGGGCCTGGGCCGAGGCACCGAGTACTAGGCGATATTTGGCCGTGCAGACCCCGCCAGCCATTGTCATGGGGAGACAGGAGAGGCTCATGGGCTAGGGGGTCCCTGCCTGGGGGCCCTGCCGGGAAACTCGGGCTGCTGCAGCCCCCAGATGGAGTCAAGTCCAGGCCCTCCCATGCTCTCCTACAGGTGGGCCTGGCACTGCCAGCTCTGGGCTCTCCCCTGCCTGAGGAGTCCAAGCTCAGCAGTTAGTTCTGGTGCAGCTGCCCTGGTGTGGGGCGGGGGGCACGTGGCTCGTGGCTGACCAGGGAAGGGCTGTGGCAGTCAGTGGGTGCGGGCCTGGCTGCCTGGCCCAGAGAGGGGATCCTGCAGAAAGGCAGGGCTGGCAGCCAAGTGGCACAGCTGGACACACCTGAGGCTGTTTACCTGGAAAGTGAGCAAGGCTGGATGGCGTCAGCCCCACTCCCCGGCTGATTCCGAGGGCTGGCCTGTGCGGCAGGGGAGGGCCAGTATAAAGGTCCCAGCGCTGCTGAAGCACGGCACTTGCAAGAGGATAATTGCACAGTGCCCTACCTGTTCCTCGGTGCCAGCGGTGAGTCTGGGGCCCTTCTCCACAGCACGCGCTGCCTCAGCCTTCTCCAGAGGCTGGCCCCCACTCCCACCCCCTGGGAGCGGGCTCTGGCTCCAAGCTCTCCATGCTGCCCCAAGAGCCTTAGGCAAGGGGTCCCGGAGGTAACCTCCCTAGCTGAGGGGGTCTCCTTTCCACAGCCCAGCCCAGCCCAGCTGAGGCAAGCTCTCCCCTCCCCCAGGGCTGGATGAGAGGTCTCTTCCCTCCCCTGTCCCTTCGCCAGCTGGAGGAGCAGTTTGGGTAGGCAGGGAGTGGAGGGTGATGTTGGCCATCTTTCTGCCAGGGATGTGGGAGGAAAGGCGCTCGCCCCCTGGGTGCCAGTGGCAAGGGGGGCCCAGGCAGAGTTAAAGGGGTTCTGCTGCTTTTCCAGGCTTTCATTGTGGGGGTGAGCGCGGCTTCACCTGGACTCTCAGCCACAAGCGAGAGTGTTTTCTGCTCCGTCTCCACCACACTCCGCTGGCTGCCCTGACCGGGGAGCCGTGGCTGCCCCAATCGTGAGCCAGGAGGCATGTGAGTGGATTTACTCCTCCTCTGTGGCTCCCCCTGTAACGCAGTACCTGCTGAGGCCCGTTCTCCAGCCGCCTTTACCATATGGGCAGCTAGCTCACAAATGCCCCAAAGGGCTCTGAAGCCCCAGCTACCGTCCCAGCTCAAGGGCGCTAAGCACCATCCAGCAGCTCCTGGGGGCGGTGCAGACTCCTCGGCGCGGCTGCTGGATTTTCCCAGCCATGGAGCCTGGGGCCAGAGGAGACAAACCTCAGATCCAGCCTGCTCCTCTCCTAGGGGCCTCCAAGCCTGCTGTTCCCACATCCGACACCCACCCCACGCTCCTTGGGCAGATGTGCCACAGCTGAGCCTTGGTGCCACTTCAGCTGCCAACCCCAGAATGATGCCCAGCACGCGCTGACCCTCTGGGGGCAGGGCTCCCCCCTCCCATCGCTGCCCAGAGCCCGCTGACCCTCTGGGGGCAGGGCTCCGCGCTCCCATCCCTGCCCAGCGCCCGCTGACCCTCTGGGGGCAGGGCTCCCCCCTCCCATCGCTGCCCAGCGCCCGCTGACCCTCTGGGGGCAGGGCTCCCCCCCCATCGCTGCCCAGCGCCCGCTGACCCTCTTGTGGGACATCCTGGGCCATTTCCCAGCATGCTCCAGTTGCTTTCCAAGCGAAATCCTTCCCTCCCGTGCTGCTCCATGTGGCCCCTGGGCTGGGGAACAGTGGGGCACAGACCCACACCAGACTAGAAGCTGGGGTCTCTTCTTAGTCGCTGGGCCATTTCCAGTGAGACAGCCTGAGCGCTCACCAACCCTCTGTGCTGCCCCAGCAGGCAGGGTCCCTTGGTGGCCATCGCAGCCCCAAAGCAAGAACTCAGCTGCACTCTGGCATGGACCTGCCGTGGCTGGGGGAGAGGCGCCCCTCCCCACCAGCCCCAGCACAGACCTGCCCCGGAATTGCTGCAGCCAGGGGAGAGGAGGCCCCCTCCCTCAGCCTAGCCCAGGCCCGCCGGAGCTGCCACAGCTGGGGAGAGGAGCCTCTCCTCCTGCCTGCATCCCAAAACCCTCATCCCTGTTCTGCACCCCCCAGACCCCAACTCTCTGCACCAGCCCTGAGCCCCCTCCCACAGCCCAAACCCCTTGACCCCACCTCAGAGCCTGCCCCCCCGCACTCCAACCCTGTGCCCCAGCCCTGAGCCCTCTCCTGCACCCCAGCCCCTCATCCCCCACCCCACCCCAAAGTCCACACCCCCAGCCAGAATCCTCACCCCCCCTGCACCCCAACCCTCTGCTCCAGCCCTGAGCCCCCTCCCACACTCTGAACCCCTCAGCCCCACCCTCACCACATGAATTTTGTTATGTGCTCCAATATGAAGGTCATGTGTCACACATCACCTCCATAGTGGTGCACATAACAAAATTAATTCCACACGTGAACATAACAAATTAGAGGAAACACTGCCCACAAGGACTCTAAGGTGACCAGCAGACAGGTTTACAGCTGCCCAAGAGAGGCAAGTTATTTGCTGCTTTAGGGATGAGGTCCTTTCCCTTTCCTTTAGCTGGGCCTAGTGGGCATTTCCTGGGTTTATTATAATACTGTGGTTTGTCTACAGCTCAGATTGATCCAAAAACAGCTTTAACTCTGACCCCCATTAGGGCCTGTCTCCTAGTCAGCCATTCACCACCCCTTGCAGCCAGCCACCAGGGTTCTTCAGCAGCAGCAGTGTCTGCATGATCACAAACATCCCCTCACGCTACACGTACTGCCCTGAAAAGCCCCCGCTACTGCCTGAGAGCGCCCCACATCCTGGGCCAGCTCCGCCTACGGCAGTGGACCTCATTGTGATGAGGGACACAAACCGCTCTAGCCTTGGAGTGCCCGAGACACGGACGCCTGCTGCAGCTCAGCCCCAAGGCTCTGTCCCTGTACACACTCATGCCTGCACCTAGATGGGCTTGTGAACAGCGTGAATGAAACTGCCCGTGTGGACTCTCTGAATTCAGCTGAAGCCTGGCTTGTATCAGTGGGGAAGTGAGCTAAGCTACATTGGTACAAGCCAGGTTTACACTGAATGCAGAGCATCCAGGCAGGGCCTTGTACCTTGTGCCTGATTAACAAAAGGGGAGATTTTAAACCAGAGCAACTTTGAACATGGACTAGTCCCAGTTCTATTTCACTGCACAGGAATAAGGTGGTTACTTATAGCCCATCATTTTTTGGGGAGACTCTTGAAAAGGATTGTTTATGCTCTGCAAAATCCCATACAGGCTCAACACATCACTCCTTCTCCCATAAATAGAACGCTTTGGCAACAGGGCAGTTAGTAGCTAGAGAACAAGAGTGGACAACATCTCTGTCTCTTTGAGCCCCAGGATTGTCATGCCCCTGTTAAATCTACGGGGCCTCTAAATCGGGGCCTCGGCTTGTCAAGCGACAGGCAATTGTGGGGTGCCAGAGATCTAACCTCCGTTATGGGACAGTCTGGGAAAACCAGCGCTGCCCGGGGAGGCTTCCGAAGAGCACGGCCATCTCTACGGGGGCGAAGAACACTCGGTCACACCTTTGTAAGGACACCAGCCACGTAGCAGGGCCACCCCCTTGTGCACAGAATGGCGCTGCAAGTACCCTAGTGCTCCCCTCCCCCCACCCCCAATTCTTGGTGACTTGGCCCCCAGCTCAGCCACAAGAGGCGCCCCACCCCACACCCCGTTGGGGTATCAAAGTCCAAACCAAGCCAGTTTCCTGCCCCAGCGTAAGCTAGACACAGCCTGGCTTCCTGAGGGTCTCGCTTCTCTTCATCTCTTTTTAGCCCAACCTCTGGACTCAGCCCTCCTGAGCCTCGTGGGGCAGCCTCCTTCCTGGGCTGTGCGGGAGCCCCACAAGAACCCTCTTCAGAGGGCTCCCCAGCCTGCAAACTCTCTGTTTAGAGCTGCCTGCCCTCTTCTCCTTCCCAGGGCCTCTCCCTGCACAGCTGGGCTCCCTCCCACTGGCAGCCCTGCTCACTTCGCAGCAAACTCCACCACTTTCCCTCTCCCCTCTCGGCCTCTCCCAAGGCTCCTCCTTGGCCTCAGGCCTGGGCGCAAACGTTCTCCCTTGGGGCAGGCTGTCACGGACTCACAGATCGTGCCCACTCTTGGCCCCGTGCGGTCCGTGGGGGGGTGCCCCTTCCAGTGCGACAGCCCTTCTCGGGGGTCCACTCTCTCTCGGGGTCAGGCCCCTCCACCTCCTGGATCCGCACCTCTCTGAGCCTTAGCACGTCTGTCTCTGCCATGGGCCCCCTCAGGGAGTCCACTTGCTCTGGACCCCCGGGGTTCCCTGTTCTCTAGACCGGAGTGACGCTCAGCCAGCATGAAACAGGAGGGTTTATTGAGAGTTGAACACAGCACAGGAAACTCTCAGGGCCTCAGGCCTGGCCTCCCTCAGCCCAGCACATCCCAGTCTCCCTGCATCCAGGTGGGCTCTGCCTGCTCCCCCTCTCCAGCCCAGAGCCCCCCTGATCCCAGCTGGGCATCTGAGATCACCGGCTCTAGGCCCCGCCTCTGTTCATTGTCTTCTCTCCAGGTAAACGGAGTTGTAAACCGGGGCCTCCTCTCCTCGCTTCTGTCCTCTGGCTGGAACCGGCTGGTTAGGTCACAGGGTCCTCACTCTGCAGCCCATTGTCCTCCCACTGGCCAGAACCGGCTGCGTCTCCTCAGCTGGGCCTCCGGGTCGCCAGGTCACCGGTCAGTGGGGTATCCATCCTCCCGGCCATCGGCTGGGTCCCCACGTCCTCTGTCCAGTCCTCTGCAAAACACACTCCCTCTCCCCTCACCTCGTTAAACCAGTAACACCCAGGGAAACTGGGTCCCACCCCCTCCGCATGCAAACCATTGAACCTCCGCAGAAAACAAGAAAACCCCCCACTACGTCACACAGGGTAAGCCCAGTCCTGCTTTCCAGGGCTTTCCCTTGGCCCCCCGGCGTTGGGGCTCTGCTGGGGCATCTCAGCCTGCAGGTCTCTGCCCAGCTCCCCCTCACCAACCCACTGGCTGCCTGTCCACTTCTGTCTCCCGCACGCCCGGATGGGCCCCTTGTCCCCTGACCCTGTGGGGTGGTGGGCTGCATCTGGCACAGGGGCAGCCCCGGAAGGGCCAGCTCACCCTGTGACATGTCTCTGTCCTGGCGGATGCTGTCCCATGGGCACATGGGGATTACGTCTGCCAGAGGCAGGCGATGGGCCAAGATGGGCCATTGGCCTGCAGCAGTCAGGGTTCAGGTATGTTCACACCTCTTGGGCTGTCTAGGAACCGGCTTCTCACGGGGCCCTCCTCTGGCCAACGCCTCCTGTGGCCGGGACCATCCTGCGGCGGCAGCAGCTTGGTAACCCCCGCAGGGAACGTGGCGCGTGTTTGGGAGCAGAGTGCTCTGCTGTGGCCAGGCTGGTGCCTGGGGAAGCTCCCGGGACTTAACGCTGTATGGCGTGCTGGCCCAGT